AAACCTTCTCTTTTCGAGGCTAAATTAGCCCAATGCAGACTTTCCTCACAGGAGAGGTGCTCCATCCCTCTGATCATGCTTGTGGATCACGCTTGTTGCCTCCTCTGGACTCCCTCCAGCAGTTCTATGTCCTTCCTGTGCTGTGACCTAGAGCTGATGCAGCCCTGCAGGTGGGGTCTCAGCAGAGCAGAACTCAGCAGAGCAGAGGGGCAGAATCCCCTCCCTCCCCTGCTGCCCACACTGCTCTGGATGCAGCCCAGGACACGTGTGGCTCTCTGGGCTGTGACCCAGTGCTCATGGCTGGGTCATGTCCAGCCTCTCACCCACCAACATCCCCAAGTCCTTCTCCCAGGGCTGCTCTGGATCTGTTCATCCCCAGCCCGTATTGATACCAGGGATTGATACCTCAACCCAGATGCAAGCACAAGCACTTGCTCTATTAAATATCATGGAGTTCCCATGGGCCACATATTCCCAGCTTGTCCGGGTCCCTCTGGACAACATGGCACCCTTCAGGTGTGTCAACAGCACCTCTCAGCTTGAGGTCATCTGCAAATCTGCTGAGGGTGCACTCAATCCATTTGTCTACATCACTGATGAAGATATTAAATAACTCTGGTCCCAGTACAGACTCCTGAGGGCACAGCTTGTAACGGATATCCATTGGGATTCTGAGTCTTTGGCCACAACCCTCTGGATGTAACCATTCAACCAATTTATTATCCATCTAATAGTCCACTTCTCCAATTCATCTCTCTCCAGTTTGGAGAGTAGGATATTGTGAGAGACCATGTCAAAGGATTTACAGAAGTCCAGGACATCCACACCCCTTCCCTTGTCCACTGATGCAGCCAGTCCACTACAAAAGGCCACTGGATTGGTCAGGCAGGACCTGCCCTTGGTGAAGCTGTGCTGGTCTCTCAAATCACCTCCCTTCTCCATGTGCCTTAGCACAGCTTCTAGGAGGATTTGTTCCGTGATCTTCCCAGGCACAGAAGTAACCTTGACAGGTCAGTAGTTCCAGGGCACTTTTTCTACCCTTTTTAAAGATGGGCACAATGTTTCCCCTTTTCCAGTCACAAAGGGCTTCTCACCTGACTGCTATGACTGTTCAAATATCATGGCTTGGTAACTATATCAGCCATTTAGCTGAAAACACTGGGATGTATCCCATTAGGTCCCAAAGACTTATCTACATTAGGGGTCCTTAGGTGGTCACAAACCTATCCTCCCTTAAAATGGCTCTGCTATCCCAGTCCCCATCCAACTGTCCTCTCAAGAGGTGTGTAAATAGAGAAATGAGGATTGTGAAAAGATTGTGACAAAAATGTGTTGAGTACCACAGCTTTCTTTTCATCTGTTGTTAATTTTTAGCATTGTTTATCAGGGGGCTGCACACCTTGTTTGACTTTCCTTTTCTGGTTAGGTCTTCTGTTCATTTAGAATAGCCTGAAGGTTTTCAGAGCTTCTTTCAGCAGCCCACAGCTCCAAAAGACAGTACACACACCAAGACTCTCTGGATCACATCACTGCTTAGCAGAGTTCTTGTCTTGTCTCCAAGACACTCCCATTTTAAGGCAAGTTGTCAAAGCCCTTCACTGTGTGCTTGCTGAGTCAACTCTTTTCCAGGATCTTTGCATCACTTAGATGATCTCAACTGATCAGACAATAATGAAGAATCTGTACTTTTTTTTTTTTTTTTTTTTTAAAGTAGCTTTCAACAAAATTTGAAATTCATTAAAATACTACAAAGATTAGTACAAATACACTTGAGTGCTTTTCTACTTGAGTGGAAAAGTATAATATTGCTTTTTGTTCTCCAGGAGTAGCAGAATAACCTGTATGAAAATCATGACAAACCATTACGTAAAATAGACACTCTACATAAGTATTGCCATATAGTAATTTTTTCCCTTCAAAATTTTTGAATAGAAATTATTCCCAAATAACCATGTGAGTTTAAGTGCAGCCATCTATGGTGGTGTGTTAGGCACTGTGCTAAGAATCAAATCTTTTATAAACACGGACAGTAGAACATTCTTTAAAAAAATAGCTGTGTAGTGCCAAATTATTATGGTAGAGCTTTTTCTTTCTGCTAGCCTTTTATTTGTTGTTGGTTGTTTTTTTTTCTATGTGCCATACTAAAAGCTACATATATTGGAATTGCCTGTAATCTGTAAACTGAAAAGAGAACACTTGCTGTCACTTCCTTTTTTCTAAAAGCATATACAAAATAACATGCAAATTCTTAAAGCAGCTGGTGTTAAAATGTTCTCTTCCTCATATTAGAGCCTAATGAGATGTAAAAGAACCTTTGACATTTCAAGATGCCTCTCATTTACAGAAGTTCATCTGTTTTAAGACTTCATAGTCTGGGTGGGGAAGCTTGATCATATGTCTAAAACAAAGAAATCCAATTGGTAGATCAGTCCTGGATCTAATTACAGGGTGCTATCTTGGAGGTAACAGAGAAGTCAGAAACAGTGTTGTGAGGCTCTCAAAGCTGCACAGCTGATAATTATTCTTTTATTCTTAGCTTAGTGGCACCAGAGTGTTATACTTGAAAAGCTGTTAACCTCAACATTTTCCACCACATTGTATAACAACAAAAGTGTGGGCCAAATTTAGAGCTTTGGTACTGTTCAGAAAAAAGCTTTCCTACGGTTGTTCTGCCCTTCAGAACTGCAGGTGTGCTTGTTTGATGGGTACTTTGCCATCATTTAGAAAACCTTTTATTTCTATTTAAGATTGGTCTGACAGCTCTGAGTTCTAAGAATTGTCAGGAGGTGCCAAGTCCAGCAAGTCTTAAGCCTGGCATTGGCCATCAGAATTTTACTTAGCCTGAATGGTCAGTTGGATCTCCACGGCAGTCACAGACTCTTGAAGTGTGGCAGTCTGAAGTGGGAGATTGTGAGAAGCAACCTGAGGGTGAGGTACTTGTGAGTGATGGATTCTGCTTTCTAATGTGCTTTGAGATGTACTGGTAAGGTAAATAGTAGGCAAAGATTCCTGAATGTAAGGTGCAATTGGTAATGTATGTATTTTTGCTAAATAAATAGCAGACTGAACATTTTATTAGTTTTACCTTAATATTGTATCCCTTGAGTTTATTTTGTTGTTTTCATACTTGGGAAAAAAACTTATCTACATACTGTCTTAAATACTAGAAGGGATGTTAAGAAGGAAGATCTTGTTAAGAAAAACATGGTTCCCAGTATCTGATTTTTCAGGAATTGCTGTTGGGCAGGCTTCAGGCTAGCAGGAAAATAAGATCATACAAATTTGTTTTACTGAATTCAATAATTAGTGATCTGTGATGTGTGTTGTATTATAGACCATCATGGATTCTCTTTCAATAGATAAACAGGCTGGAAATCCTGATTTTATTGGCCAGGGAATTCCTTTGGATGAGACAGCATTTGTAGTAAGTATGCATCTGAATGACAGAGTTTACAACTTAATGGGAAGTGTTGGTTAATGTGTTTACTGAAGTGGCAAGCATTGCAAAATTTTCATTAAATGCCAATTAATCTTCCTGTGCTACTTTTTTTCAGATTATAGTGAATTTTATTCAAAATTGTGGGGTGTTTTTGCAATAGCCACAAGTATGTGAAGTTTAAAAGTTGTGAGGGAACTTGAAGTTTCTGTGCATGTGCTCAGAAACAGAAAAAGGTACAGGTCTATCATCCAGGATGTTGTACAGTAATGCACTGAGCTATTTGTCAGTAGTCCATGCTGGGATGTTTTATTTGAAAAGGAGTTTTAGTTAATTTCTTTTCCTGATTTTTTTGCTTGTCTGACATTTTGAAAATAAGGTTAATTTGATGTGAAACAAGTTAAGAGAGATGTTATAGATGTGAAACAAGTCAAGGGAGATGTTACAGATGTCCATAACCAGCCCATTGAAGAAACATTTCTCTGCCTTGGAGGAATGCTTGCATGTAGCTGATCTAGATATGTCCATACCAGGAGTTTCAAAATTTGATGTTTCAGATACACAGCTTGCAAGATGGGATACCTGGGCTAAAACTCACTCAGCTCTGAGTTTAATGTGGAGAAGTATTCTTGCCTTCAGATCTACATTAGAATAAAAAATAGCCAGGTCTGGTGGGTGAGGCTTGCATTCTGTATATAGGATTATTTTTCTAAAATTATTTGCATACTGACATATTTCCTGTTGTTAGGGAGTTATTGAAGAAGGGTATGTCTTCCTGTCTGTAACTGAAACTTCTGCAAGACAGTTAGTTCCAATTGAATATTTAGCAATTTTGGTAAAACCATGGTTTTCCATACCATTATTTGGTTCATTTCCCATATTGTGTTCCTATGTCCAGTTCCAAAACCTTTTCATCGGTTCTTTTGTGCTTACAGCCAACACGCGATACTTGGTGTCTGCTCTAGCACACACACTCACAGACTTTGGGTTAGAACAAATACTACTGCAGTTACTGGAGCACTCTGACAGCCGGCGCTTCGGCGGGCCGGCGTTGTTCGGAGCACTTACATGTGCTCTTACGCCTTCCCCCACGCTTCTATAAAGGTTACACCGTCAATTTCTGATGGTGCCGCGGTCGGTAGGTAAGAGAAGGACGGGCAGGACGGCTCAGCGCTCCTGCCGGCGGGGACCGGGTGGGTGCGGGTGCCCTCGGCAGCCGCGCCCCGCGCCGTGCCCGTCCTTGCCCCGCCGCGGTGCCGGGGCGCGGTGCGGAGCCGGACGCCTCCCTCGAGGGGGCGGCGCTGCGGGCGGCAGCGGCCCCGGGGCGGGCGGCGAGCCGAGGCTGGGGGCGAGCCCGCAGGACCAAAGTTTCTTGCCCGCAGCGCCCCGGTGTCTCCGCAGAGCGCGGCCCAGCCGAGGGGCAGAGCCGCTGCCCGCGCCGGCAGAATGAGGGAGCAGCGCCCGTGTCCGGGCACCGGGCAGCGGAGGATGGGCGCGCTGGCGCTCCCGGTGAGCCCTGTGAAACGCTTGCAAACTGAGCGCGCCTTTCCCTGTCTTTTCGCAGAGGAGGCCTACCAAAAACTGGCTAGCGAGACCATGGAGGAGCTGGACTGGTGTCTGGACCAGCTGGAGACCCTGCAGACCAGGCACTCCGTCAGCGAAATGGCCTCGAACAAGGTAGGAGCCCGCGGGCTCGGCCCCGCCGCCCCGCGACCCCCTGAGTGCTGGCCGGGGGTCGCGGCAGCCGGGGCTGTGCAGGGTCAGGGGCGGCCGAGGGGGCCGGGCGCTGGAGCGGCCTCGGGCGCAGAAACTTGACCTGGGCAAGCAGTGTCCAAACGTAATCTGGGGAGCGGGAGCTGGTTCTGTTGTGGTTTTATACACCAGTTCTTTTAAATTTCAATGCAAGTTGTGAAAGTGATGCAGGTCTTGTAAAGCTACACTGTTCTCTTGCGTGCGTCAGTTTGAAAACAAAAAGAGATTGTTCAGAGCTGCTGGCAATTATCTGTTCAGTTGCTCCTTTTCACAGAACCCCATACAGAATTAGGGATCTTTCCTAGAAACGGTGTAGAAAGTAGCATGAAAGGTGATAAAGATAGTTCCTGAGCCCAGAGGATCTGTATGGTGGATTCTGCTTGTAAACAATGATGATGACAGCTCTCATAATGCTATTTGTTGTGAAAGAACATGCTCTCAACCAAAGTGCCATCACAATAGACACCTACATCTAGAGGTGTGCTTCTGCAACAGAGTGCGCTCTTCCTTCTCATCCTGGAAGCTGAGGATTTGCATTAGCTGGGAACTCTGTGCCGGGATCTGCTATGGTCTGTATGTGCTTTGGTTTTGCAATTTGAAATTGAGTTTCCACATCTTTTATTTATAAGTAAAATTTCTTTCCTGATTTTGATTTATAAGAAATATGCAGGTACATTTTTAGAGTTAGTTTTTTTTTTTAAGGTGAATTAATAAAAGTGCTGTGTTACTTCAAAATTTATTTTTATATTTTTCATCAACTGAATACTTGAACAACAACATATGCAATTAGAAATTATAAGAAAGCTTTAATTAAACAGGATAGTTTTCCTACTCTTATGTCTGCAAAGGCAGCTGATGATATTTTAGCATCTTTTCACCATTTCAATTGTAATTAATATTTTAAGTTGCAGGATAGTTGTTTTGACTCAGCTTATGCCTTCTTAATACTCTACTGCTTTGCTTTGACTGCTCTTACCAAGTATCTGCTCTTTGTTATTGACTGTTTTTAAGTTCCTGTTGAAGTGTGCCTGCATGTGAGATATGAAGTATCTGCACACTTGTGCAGTTGAATCCCACAATGTAATATTCCCTTTGCTTTCTTCGGCTTTAGAGACTCTTAGCACCAATTTGATCTCTGTTTTAGGAGTTTCCTGCCTGGCATTACGCTACTCTCAGAACTGCATTTTCAGTTTTTATTGCAGCTGGAAGATCTTGTTACTCAGTATGTATTGTGTATGCATTTGTGAGCTACAAAGTCAAGAGTTTCCAAGGCTGTTTCAGCTCTGTATGACTCTGAGACTTTGTTTCCAAAGGGAGTGAGATCAGACTGACACATGCAACCTGGTCTTTTCTTGCTAACAAATTTGAACGCCTGACTTGTGATGTTTGTAAAACCATTCTTTCACAAAATGCTGCATTTTCTTCAAGTATTTCTTTCCTAACTCCATATAATAGATAAGATATGCAGTGTTTTTTATTAACAGTGAAGGTTGGCTGTTTCTATAATGAGGTAAAATTAATTGCAAATCAATGTTTTTTAGGGTTTGCCAAGTATATTTAGTATTCTTATATTCTGTAAGTAGACTCAGAGGTGCTACTGAGTTTGATACTATGTTTTGTTTGTACTTGTTTGAATAAGTAAGTATTTTCACTCTCTTTTCAGAAATCTAACTCCTTGTATATACTAATTTGTGTCATCTTTCAGCATTCATTTGGGAGGTTTTTGTTTTGGTTGGTAAGATAATTTAAAAAAAACCGAAAGAACAGACAAAAACACCAAAAAAAAATCCAAAAACAGCAACAAAGTGTAAATCTGTGCCACTTACCAGCACGTGAACAATCTTGAATATAAACCAGCAAGCCCATACCATATTGTGAGAAAAATTAATGCAGGAGGATTTTCATTTTGGGGTACAGCAGGTTATTCTAAAGAATAATTCCAATTCTTGTTACTGAAACATACCCAGCATTTATGTAATACCTCCTATTGTAATATAACTGCAAACTTTGACCTCTCAGTGAGGCATATAGATAAATTATACTATTTTACTTTATTGAGAAACAGAAGAAGAAAAGCTTTGCTCAAGGCTGAGAACATAGACTTCAGTAGAGAAGTGAACATGCAAGCATACTTTGTTCTCTATCTGAAGAGTAGGTCCTGTAAAATCAGATGAGAAAGTCAGGAAAAGGAATGTTGGTGGTACAGAAGAACATACTTTCTCACAGTGTTTCTCTCTTTCCTTTTGTCTTCCTTTCTCAAAGAACCAACTCACAAGCCTGACTGATTGTTGGTGTGGTGTTTTTACTCCCTGGACTACTTCCCTTACTTATTTCTCTCCCCTTTATCTTGTATGCAACAGCATTTTCATCAGTATTAGTTTTCTTTATTTTTGTGAACAAATGCAAGACACAAGGGATGGCCTAAGAATTGAACTCTGGACTAGGTAAGAACTTCTGCCCATTGTGGAAAGGCTGCCATGGTAGAGGAAACCAGGGTGGGAGCAGTATTTCATGTCCTGAATGCTTGGAGTAATTCAGGGAGTGAGCCTTAACTCCAGTCCCCTTCTGTGCAGTAAGTTGACAGTCTGAACTGTTGGCTTCATCTGTTTGGAATCCCTTTACTGTTGTAATGCTTGCGTAGGACTAGCATTAGCATATCGCAATCCAGGGATATTTATTTTGTTTAGATGCCCCTCATGCTCAATTAGCAGCAGTCTATGACGTGCCAGCTCACGGCTTTGGATGACAGAAAGTGGAATGACGCAGATACATAAGAAGATCCTTCTTCTCCCTACTTAAAATTGATTAAAGCAGTAGTGACAGGGTGCTATACACAACCTCTGGATGTGCCCCGGTAAGTTGTGGGACTAAGCGTTATCCAAAAACTTTGAAAGCAGGCTGTAGGTCTGTTCTGTTGGGAGCCTGCTGTGATGCTTGGCTGCCTACATTACATCAGTATGACTGAAATATCCAGATGATTTCCCATTTCCCAGCCATCCCCATGATACAAAGATTTCCAAATGCTTGCAGCCATTGCATGTGAAGTAACTGATGGATGGATCTCTGGTGCACCCATAGGCATAGTTTGTAAATCAATGTGATTTTGAAAGGACATAGTATGTAGTTGTATTGTCACTTGTCATTGTGTTGTTATGAATCTTACAGTATGTGGTGTTTACTTACATTTCTAACTTCTGAAATTGGGTACTAGCAAGAGAAAAGCAGCTTTTTAAAAGTGCAGGAAATTTGTCATCTTTGTTCTCCTCTAGAAACCTTTTAAAGTTTTGAAAGGCTCCAAAGCAAACATATAAGAAGCACCTTAAATTTAGAAAATTTACTAAAATGTCTTTCATTTTTGGAGAACTGACTGGTTTTCTGTATCATGTACTGTTAATATTGCCTGATGTTAGTGGACTGTAGTATTGTTGTATTTTTCTGAGTAATGCTTTCTTGAACAGACAAAATATAATTTTAGGAAATAGTTTACAAATCTGGGTAATTGGAGATATAGGCATAATTAGATGTCATTATTTAACTGTTCAGATTTCCACATATCCCAACCCATACCACTTTTTGTTAAACTGAATTGTGAGTAGTATCTGCTGAAAAATATGTGGTTTAGGAGGCTACTAACTTGTTGATTGTGATGCACATTTACAAGCAAATGATATTTTAAAATTTCCAAGTTGCAGAGTGATGTTCCTTTGCTTTTTTTTCTTTTTAATATTTTCTTTCTTTTTTTTTTTTTTTTTTTTTCCCTGCTAAATAAGATTAAAGCAATACTTAATAAATTTTAAATTCTCTGGGAGAAGAACTCTCTTCTTTCAGTATGCAGTTTACCACTACCTAGTTTACGGATCTGAGAATTATTCTGTGACAGACAATACACAAATTAAAAATTCCAGTAATAAAAATGTAACAACTCCTCTCTGTTAGACAGCATTATTTGCAGATTAGTCAAACATGCAGGAGTATGTATAAGGAAACTTGTTTGCAAAAGTGTATTTTCACTTCTGTAATCATGATTTTGCAAGCATCTCTTGTTGGGTGCTTTATGTGCCTAAGTATCTGAACTTAGACATGGGAAAAGTTTCAAACTGAATTGTTTTTGTTTCAACTTTAGCTCTCCTGCAGATGATGTTTTTTTTTTTTTTCAGAATTTGCTAATAACTGGTAAAGAGCAAGAGTTTAGAAGATGTCAGTCATAGGGCACTTCTTTCCCTACAAGTGCAAGTGAATACCCTTGTCCAGGAATCTCTTTTAGGTATTAGAGCTGTGAAAATTTTGATTTCATTTAGTCAGACCACATTAATTAAAAATCTACTTTTTAAGTATAGACTTTCTTATAATTGTGCAGGTTCTATACCAGTATGTGCAAATGCTTACAGATTAGAATAGAAGTCTATTTACAGACAGTTACTAGTGCTATTTACTTTAAAAAAAAAAAATAAATTGAGATTTCTTTTGGTGATTTGAAAATATCAAAGTATCAATTTCATCAACCAGCTAGTGTCCAAAGCCTACCCTAATGTAACACAGGGCTTATATTTATGATCCTGAACTTGTCACATACTATGTACATTTAAACAATAGTCTTAATGATACTTTATTTTTTAAAAATTACTTACCTGTAAATATTTAATGTAATCCAAAACGATATTTGAAGGCAACTTGAAATCTGTTCAGTTACTTTTTTACGTTTCCTCTTCTGCTACTTTGAGCTGGTTTATAATCACATATTCTTACCACTAAAAAGTATTTTTCCTTTCATCTTTTCAGCACTAAAAAGCTCACACAGGTAATGGGAGGCTGACTAACATAATATCTGGGGAAAGAGTGAGGCTAAATTTATTACTTAGGTCAAATAATGGACTATGTATAAACCCTAAAGTGCTTCAAACACAGGTGCTGTGTTACCTTCACCA